CTCTGGCTGCTTTTAATACTCTGTCCTTTTCCTTGATCTTTGCCATTTTAATTATTATATGTCTTGGTGTTGTCTTCCTTGGGTCCGTTGTATTGGAAGATCTGTGTACTTCAATGGCGTGAGAGAGTATTTCCTTCCCCACATTTGGGAAGTTTTTGGCAGTTATTTCGTCAAAGAGAGACTTCTATCCCTTTTTCTCTCTCTCCTTCTTCTAGTACCCCTATAATGCTAATATTGTTCTATTTGGATCGGTCCCACAGTTCTCTTAATATTTTTTCATTGCTGGAGGTCCTTTTTTCTCTCTGTACCTCAGCTTCTTTATGTTTCTGTTCTCCAATTTCCATTTTCTTTACTGTATCCTCTACCTCAGCTAATCTGCTTTTAAGTCCCTCCATTATATGTTTCATTTCAGATACTGTATTTTTCAAAGTTTCTGTCTCAGTCTTGAATTCCTCCCTGATGTCTTGAATATTTTTCTGTAGCTCCATGAGCATGTATGATTTTTATTTTGAAATCATTTTCAGGAATATTGGTGAGTTCAGTTTCACTTCACCCTCTTTCTGGTGTTTGGGCATTTTGGTTTGTACCAGGTTCTTTTGACATTTCATATTTATAGTAATAACTTTGCATAGGTGGTACCCTCTAGTACCCAGAGGCTCTACTCTCTGGAGCTGTTCAGCCGTTGGAGCGATGGTGGAGGTCAAAGGCGAGGGGTATGGTGCCTGCCCAGAGGAGAGGGGCTCTTTCCTGTTCCCCATAGTGCCTGGATCCACTGCCAGGGTCAGTGGTCTGAGCATGCAGGGAGGAGCCCCTATGTTAGGTGAAGCTCCCTGTAGCTGCTGTAATCGGGACCACTCTCTGGCTAACCTGGCAGAATGTTGGTGGCAGCATGTTTGCAAGCCAGGGCTGGCTGGAATGAAGGAGCAGCAGGCTGTGTATTGAAATGGAGGGCCTCAGAGCTGCGTTGCCAGCCAGGGGTATGGAGCGCCTGAAGCTCCTGAAGGTTCCCAACCTGCTGGACTGAGTGTGCCAGGTCAATTTTGTCCACGTGTCCTTTTTCCTGAGCAGCAAGCTGTGTGCAATCCTTGCCCGTTTAGCCACCCTCTCTTGCTGTTGGGAAGTCTCTCAGAGTGCCCACCTTTCTTTTGTCCCAGAGTGGCCGGTTGTGGGTACAAATTCTCCACAAGCAGTTGAAATCTCAGTCTCTCTGAGTATTCTGCCTGTCTTAGCTGTTGAACCCCACTAATGTCCAGAGCAGCATGTAATGTAGGTTTGCACTCACAAAGTAGATCTCCAGGGCTGGGTGTTCGGCAGTCCGAGGCCTCCACTCCCTCCCCAGTCCATTTCTCTTCCTCCTGCCAGTGAACTGGGGTTGGGGAAGGGCTTGGGTCCCCCCAGATCACAGCTTTGGTACTTTAGTCTTTTCCATGAGGTCTGCTTGGTTTACCCAGATGTAGGCAGTCTTACACAGCCTTCTTTTCCATTGCCCTTTGAGAATTAGTTGTATTTGCTATATTTTCATATTATATGTGGTTTTGGGAAGAGGTTTCTGTCTCACCTCTCATATCACCATATTTAACCCAATCCCATGTTTCATTTCTTACATGTAAGTTCATTTTGTTCATTCAATAGAATTTTTTTACAACCTATCGTATACAAAACTAATTGCAATTTTATGTTTGTAGTATATTCATCTTTTCATTCTGTAATGTTTGGTGTATCAAAGATGAACATGGGTCTAACTGAAATGAGGGAAGTGTGAACATTCTTGTATGTACATATCAACAGAAGTGCAATAACCCTAACTCCTGTTTGCTTTCTGTCACCTGAGTCTCTGTGTTGTTTGGCTTTACAGTTTAGCTTTGCTGTATGCCTGGTTGGTTTGTTACTGTTCTCTGCCAGGATTATAGATGTGGGTTGTGTAGTTTGCTTTGTGTTCCAAGGTTTGTTCCCCACACACAGACACCTAAAATTTTCCTGCCTAAATTTTTCCTTTAAGTTCATTTTAGGGCTAGTATTTCCTTAATTGGTGCTTGTTTCTTTTTTGATTGTAAAATTTTAGAACTCATACAAAAATGCCTGTTTCATTTGTCTCCATAATGGCTGGTAGACTATGGTGTTTCACACATGGTAGTGTTTCTAATACTGCTCTATAGATAGTTTAGTGTAGTGTCCTCCATGCCTGAGCTCTGTTTCTTAAATGCTATAATTATCTGTGCTAAATTCATCTAGAGTCTCTGTAGATCTGTTTGTTTTGTTTCTGTTTGTTCTCACTCATGTTATCTTACTTCTTTGTGTGCTTGGTTATTTTTATTTGTGTGTCTGACATTGTATTTGCAAAATTGTTTGTTGAAATACATGAAGTTTAGGATGTTCTCATCACCATGGAGGATTACATTTGCTTCTGCCAGATGCTTTGGGGCACTATTAGTCCAGGATCACCAAAATTTATTTTCAGAGGTTTAAATAATCTAAGACAGGATACATTTTCTGCAAAGTTAGGTCTTCCTACCTCCAGTTTACTCTTCCTCTCAAGGTCCTTATCCCAAGTGTGGTGATTTATACCTTGGGAGACCCTTGAACTTCAGCTTTTGTTCCCTTAGCACTTTGTCAAAAACATTGCCCAGCCTCTCAGCCACTCTTCTAGAATTGCCAAATGATCTAGGAGGGGAAAGCTATCCCAGTTTGAGGAGAGATGAGGTGGTGAATCTCCTTTCTAATCATGTAAATCTTGGCCCAGCAATTTTTAGTTATTTGCTAGACCTTCTTTGAAGGAATTTTTTAAAAAACATTTTTGTCTAGCTTTTTTCCTCAGCAGGAAGGTTGGTCCAAGTTCCCTAGTTTACTATTTATTAATGGGATTTTCTCAAAAGTAGATTTGACTATATAAAATGAAAAATGTTTTTTGTCTCTTTTTCCCTTCTTTTTGGTCTCATTATTTGACTCCTGGACAATAGGAGATTTCTATACATAGGTCAAATTAGTAGAATTGATGAAATTATAAATTCCAATTCTTCATTTCTTTTACTTTGCCATGCTTTGTTTTGCCATTGTTCTGGGATAGCTTTATTACTTTGAAATTGGGGAAGAACCTTTAAAATTTTTTTTTGGAATTACTACAATTTCATATTTGTCTACCCTCATTTCATTGATAAGGATTTTCATGGTGGCCTTTTGCAGTAGATACCCAATAGTTGGTTGAGCAAAGGAATTAAATAAATGAGCAAAGGAATTAAACTTTTTAACTATACTTGATTCTTTAATTAACCTTCATTTAGCAGATTAACTGTTGCTTTTGAGATTTGAGAGTATGCATCCTTAATGTACAATGGCCAAAATTCCCAAACTCTTTACTTGTAAGAGCAGATGTATACATTCAGAGTTTATCTGAAAGTCAAAACTGTGTTAACACATTTCCTGGGCTCCTTTAAGATAAGGGGAGAAGTTGTGAGGTACTGGACAAAGTGATCCTCTTAAAAATGGACGTACTTAGCAGAGCAAATACGGCAGTCTGGGACTCATGATTAACACATTGGGTAGCCATGCCCCTACCTTTGTCCAGCTTAAAAACAAAAAGCTTCTTTTCCTCCAGCATCCCCAGTACTTAAACAGGGTTAATCACAGTGCCTCACAGTTCTTTGCGCGTGCCTCTTTTCTCTCTGTTGGATTTACTCTCTTTGAGAATATTTCTGATGTCTTTAGGTACCTTTTAAAAGTAGACTGTACAATTTATATACAGTTGACCCTTGAACTTCTCTTGGGTTAGGGGTGCTGATGAAAATCTGCATATATCCCACCCTCAAAAATCTCAAGAGCCTACTGTTGACTGGAAGCCTTACCAATAAGCAATTAGCACATGTTTTGTATGTTATATGTATTAGATACTGTTCTTAAAATAAGAGGGAAAAAAATGTTTTTTCAAATTGTCTCAAATCTCAAGTTTTCCAATGTATTGAGAAAAATCTGTGTGTAAGTAGACCCATGTAGTTCAAACCTGCTGTTTGAAGGTCAGTTGTAAATGTCAGCAAGGAGACACTATAAATCCCACAATATACCAAAAATAGAAATATTTGAAAGAAAATCAAATGATGTGTGTTAAGTACCATGTTTTAAGGTGTTAATAAGAAATTCTTACAAACATTAAAGCTGATTCAACTCAGATAATGTATAGGGCTTCTCTAGTGACATATGGTAACCATTTGATAATTAACCTATATAGTTAGTAGAAGAAAAATGCCTAAATGTAGATCATGTTTATTTTGTGAAGGATAATGCAGTCATGTCCCAAAATGTAGCCATTTGGGTTAGAATTCGAATTGGACTTTACAGGAAGTTTCATTTGGTGCCTGCTTTGGCCTAGTAATCTTTTTATACCTTGCTAGCCACTAATTTAGCTGACACTTGAGATGAGCCATCATTTGATCATTTTGGTGGTTTTACAGTGTAGTCAGTCAGTCAAGTGTAGCCTTAAGGCGAATGCCAGATTTCCTAGTTTGTTACAGTGAAACTTTCTGTATCATATCCCGTAGATGTATTATATTAATTGACCTCCTTTAGGGCTTTTGCATAATAGATGAATTGTACTTGAGTACACTCTTAGGTGTCCAGTATATAATAGCAAAGAGAGTTTAAAAGCCATATTATCAGGCAATTCGTGAAGGAAAATGTTTTTCTTAGGTTCTGTTAAATGTAGATAGGTGTGGCCTTGTTAGTTGGATTTGAGTGTTAGGATTGGTGCTCAGGAATGCATAAAAGTTTTTCCTGTTAAAATTTAAATTGTTATAATTTAAACCTGATAGTTAACCTGTAGGAGGATGTTTTTAGGAGCAAATTTCACTTGTGAAGCCAGGAGAGTGATATGCCCCGTATTACACTTTTTTTAACTTTCATGAATTAAACATTTGCATTTATTTTAATTATGCATTTTTCTTGATAATGAAATAAAGTATCACTTAGTACTATATTGTTATAAAGTTGACTTTTTTTCCCCCCTAATACAGAAGCTCCACCATGAGACGAGGTGCATGGAGGAGGAGGCGAGCTGAAAATGATGGCTGGGAAAAATGGGTGTGTTTTAAAAGAATAAAAATAATTATAATGAACTTTCTAGGTATTTTTCATTCTTCTTTTAATTTATAATGTGGGTTTAAGGCATTTTCCAATTGTTAATCACTTCAGACACCAACTGTTTGAGTTTTCGCTATGTGTCAAGAGCTTTAACTTTAACCCCTAAACTTTACTCCCAGAAATTTTATCCTGAAGAAGTAAATGTTCTAGTGTACAAAATTTATTGTATGATCATTTTATTGCATGATTATTATTCAGTATTTTCCAATAATACTGAAAAGCAGGAAAATAGGTGTCCAATGAGAGAGGATCAGTCAAATGAGTTATCCCTGTGCAGTGGTGCACTGTGCAGCTGTTATTTAGCTGCGTATGTCTCAACCTGGCAAGATGGCCTTGACTAAAAGAGTGTTTGACAAAGGGATATTATATGTGATCCTGTTTTGTAAAACCTTTATGCTCTGAGGCATAGAAATAAACTGAAAATCAGATATCAATATGTTAACAATGAATGGGCTCATAGCTAATTGAAATTTTCTGCTTTATATTTTCCAAAAACAATTTTTCTCGACAGCACATAGTATTTGAGTAATCAAAAACAGTGAATTCATCTCCATTTTGGAAAGGATATGTACCACTTCTAGATACCAACAGCTTAATTTTAAAGACCTTCTTGATAATTCTTTATTGACAAAGTAATATCGATAGAAAAATCAATAAAGACAGTAGTTCAAATTGATCAATCTTAATTGTTTCAGTGTTCAGGAAAAGTGTATCTGAATTCATAGATCTGTGAAAGGTCTTTAACAAAAATAATAAGTGTTCTTATATTCTTTTTGAGGTTAATGTTCTAATAGGATGTTTCAATGAAAATTAGTATTACTATTCAATAGATGGATTAGATAGAGAATTTAGCTACTGAATTGCTTATTGTATTCTTATCTACAGCTGTGGAGGACTGTATTGGCTTGCTGAGCTGCTTCATTTTCCTTGAAGTTAATAATTTTAAGCTTCCTACATACAGAAGGTAGTGGAAGCCAGTCTAAAATACTCTTAATGCCCACTTGTCAAGTTTTTAATTTAAACTTTGGTGTAACTTTTGCTTGATTTTGTAGATAATAGTATTTTGTGGCATTAAACTTATTCTTGACTTATCTTTTTCTTCTTTTAAAGTAATTATTTTTCCTATAAGACTGTGATAAAATTGTTAAAAATTGAGTTGACAAAAGGAAAAGTCACCCTTGACCTGCCTATCCCATTGCCTTGTCTTATGGTCCATGTTTATAACTATACCATAGGTCATCATCATACCTTGGTCACTAGCACAGAATAAGGGCTTTATTTATTTAATTTAAAAATGTTTCTTTTTTGAAAAGAGAGGAAGAAAATACAACTTTTGTGATTAGTTTACCTTTTCTTTAATTCTAGGGTGAGTATATGGCTTCCAAGGTCCAGAAATTGGAGGAACAGTTTCGATCAGATACTGCTTTACAGAAGGATGGAACTTCATCTGCGATTTTTAGTGGAGTTGCCATCTATGTTAATGGATATACAGGTTGAGTACTATTTACTTTTTAGGTACCCTATTTTGGCATGTATTTTTATTAGGATTGAGAGCGATTTAACTTGTTTTTAATGATCTTGCATATAAAAATGATGAAAATAAAATCTTCTGTTTAGATGCTCTTCCTTCACTTTTCCTTTTCTTTCTCACCTGTACCTGCCATTATATTTTCTATTTTAATTTTTTTTTTTTTAGGGGAGCAAGGTACAGGCTTTTATTTAGAGATAAAGTGAAAGTACAGCGCTCCCGGCTCACTCCAGGAGGGGACAAGAGAGTCCGTAATGGTGCGTTGTCTAGGGGATTTTATAGGCAGCTGAGGATTTTTCGAGAACATGAAAAAAACTTAGGGGTGTGGACTTGTTAAGTGGTCTCTGAATATTTAGAATTAACTTAACACAAGCAACTTCCTCTGATGATTTCTCCCTGAGATACCAGCATCTTGGTCTGGGGGCATATGAAACAAGGCCACCTGCTCAGCCCCCAAGGTGGGCTGAGGTATTGTTTGCTAAAGAGTAAGTTAAGAATTTCTAGCGTCTTAACTTCTTGGGTATTAAAATGCAGTCTTATCTTTAAGGTGCAATCCTTCCTACCTTTTACTCTGTTGTTTATGCCTGGGCTTACTTGCTAAATTAGTTGCCCAGTTTGCAAAATCACTTCATCAGATCTGAAGGAGGAAAGACAGCACATAGGCCTGGGCCTTTTAGTATGCTAAAGTGATCCTTACACATGATTATAAATGGTTAGCATAATAAAACATGTGCTGCTCTTCTTTATCTGGGGAACATTATCTGATCTCACTGAAGAATGATTCTAGAGCTTAATGTTTAACATAGAGTTTTAGCAGGGGGGTTGGTTTCCTTGCATGTAGTTACATTGCTCTGACTGCAAATATCCCACCCTGCCCCCTCCAGCAGCCCTCACCCTACTCTGACTATATCCATGGTCCCTGTCTCATTACCCCCTCTACAGATAGAGACCCTAGCTGCTGCTAGGGAAAGGGGGCAATGACCGCTCTGGCTGCTTCATGCTGAGAGGGGACGCAGTAAGGGGTGCAGCTAGGTCTCCATCAGTGGTCATTCGAGAGGCCCTCAGAAGATGGGCACTTCTATTCCAGGTTCTATCTCCATTTGCAGTTTTGTGGCTTCTAGGCAAGATAGAATAAATTGTGTTATTAGGTTAAGTGGCAATATCTGGAGTTGGATTTTCCATTCTGGAAAGACAAACTTGATGAGATTAAGAATGCATGGTTGAATATGAGAACTAGAAATAGTAAAACTTTAATTGCAATGATAGGAGAAAATTAAAACATTTACAGAATCATAGCCAGATATTTTGAGGAAGCTAGAATTCTGTTTATGTCTAGATTTATGTTTAAATCTAGTTTATGTCTCAATGACTGGTATTAGGATTTAGTATGGATAAGGCTGCATTATTGAAACAATACTTTTCTCTAAAATCACCCTCATTTTTATTAGAAGTAACCAGGTTAAGAAAATAATTAACACTTGGCTCTATTATTTGCATAAGTGCAGCAAGAAGAGCAATTGATTACATAGGCTCCTTTAAATATGCTTTGCTGGAACTTTTTGTAAGGAATTTCAGATTGAACTTTTAAAGGCCTCTTGAGACCGGACAGCCAAGCCAGACTTGACATCAGGTTTTGCCTGCAGTACCTGTAGATTTGGGTGAATTCCTCTTTTCTCCAGGTCTCCAAGACATCCTGAGGTTCCTGCACCTGCCAGGAAGTGACCTTCCTTACTCATCTGTAAGACTGCTGGGAACCCTGTAAGCAAGGTACCAGGCCAGTTCTTCCAAGGGGCTTTGTTGGCTTTATAAAGTCAACCTTAGTTCCTTAAAGCTGTTCATATCTGAGTTAAAGCATGTGTCTGTCAGGTATGACATTCCAGTCAAAGCCTTGGTAGTATAACCTGTGTTTTTAATTGGTTCTCTTACACGGAAAGCAGATTCTTATTGAACTTATGCAAATAAACTTACTGCCATGAAATATAAAAATACTGAAAGCTTTTAAATTCTTGAGGGGTCAGGTAAAAAGATAAATGTTTCAGTTCTGCTTATAAAGGTATTGTCATTCATGAAACTGTTGTCAACTTAAGAGAAAAAGCTTAAAACACTTTATCAGCAACATTTGAAACAGAAAACCACAAAATCATCTTCTTTAGTTTACTTAATCCTATGTAACCAATACCTGTTCTGCTGAAATCTAGTTCTTTACTAATTTAGGGGTAATAAAACAGTGACTATAAATGACAAAAGAGTTACAAATGACAATGGTTAAAGATCTGATGAGAACTTACTGTAAGACAGTTGACTAAGGAAATGCGCATATTTCTGTAACACAAAACATTCAGTAACAAAGTTTAGCATCATTCCCTTTGACAGTGCTTTCCAGGTAATTAAGAAGGTAAATAAGCCAAATTAGCCAAATACTTTCTCCAATGAGAAAAAATTCCTAACATATTCCAGGGGCCGGCCCTCTGGAAAATATCAGAGTTAACTACTAGAACTTAAAACTATTAGGTATCTTAATGTTTAGTAAACACTGAGAAGCAGGTTATTGTAAACTTTTACACTAGCATTCTTTAGATTGACAAATTTATGAACATTTTATATGAGCTTTACAGCACAATTTCTCACTAAGCACAAAGTACATTTTCTTAACAGCAAAACTTTAAGGTTTTAGGTTACCACAGAGTTTCTCAGGCTGTAGGTAGGTATACACACTGTATCACACAATTATTATTAAGAAGTTCACTTGCTACATTTAGTTTACTCATTCTTAACAACTCTGCTAGACTACTTACAAAACCTTTACTGAATATTAGACAAAGTCAAGCCTCTAAGCATTTTATTCTTGAAAGATTTAGCAGATAACGTAAACTTAAATGACTTTAGGTAAACTTAGGCAGCTGATAACCATAAGGACATGTCGGTTCAGTTCAACTTAAATTAGCATTAATGCTTAATATTTTCTATTAGAAATCTCTGGAAGTTTTAGAATCCCCAATTTTCACATGTGCTTGTCTTTAAATCAATTTCATTAATACCATCCGGAGGTAGAAATATCTTTTATCTAAATGCTTAGACACACAAAGATACAGACTGAGACATAATGACTACAGTTAGCAACACTCTTCATAGAAAGAACATATACACAGACAGATAAACTGACACAGAGACTTGAGTTACTGATATCCAATTGCCTTTCCTTTTAGTTTATTCGACTAAAAGTATCTCAGTTTTCAAGAATACACTCTATAGGCGAGCAGTTTACATAACTGGGTTAAGGTTTAGATGGCCCCAGATTAGCAGGGCTGATGAAGCCTCTGAACTGATAGGGACTGTGTGTCTCCAGGTGGCTGGAAATGAAATGCAAGTACAATTCTAGCTCCAGTCATTTAAAGCCAGGCTGTATTGCAGAAGATAAATTTCTTCTGTTTCAGGGAATCTAGTTTAAAAACCTCTCAATTTTTGAAGGTAATGAACCCAATAAGTAGAATAGATTTCCACCAAAATAATTTAGAAAACTAGTTCCACATTATAGTCTATGGGACTATTGACTATTTTCCTTCCTTGCATTAAAATAAATTTAGCTGCATAACTTTATTATGTATTTCTCTCAGGGGCCAAGCCTCTCCAATCAGAGACTTTGTATGGAGGCCAGGCTTGGGTGCACTTTTTTCAGGGTCTGGGGATCAAAATTGCTCCCAGTTCTTTAGAATGCATGCCAGAGGCATGTCCGGCTTTAAACTTGAAGAGGAAGCTCCAACTTGGAAGAGAGAAAGATAGGTGTGTGACACTGTGACACCTGGTCAGCCTTTCTCTGTGAGGGCGTCCCCTCTCCTTGGAGCCTGGGTGACAGTGGTCAATCACCTCCTCTGCCAGGCCTACTGGATTTAACCATTCCTTACCAGTGTGGCCTGCACCTTGCCTTGATTCCCCTCTTGCCTTCCCACTAAGCAAGAGTTGCCTCGGAGCTCTGGATTTAGTGCGACTTTACCAATGTGCTCCTACTTACGCCTTTTGGGAATTTCCCTAGTTTTCTCTGCATGAGCTTTCCTTGAGCGCTCCCTGCCTGTCTGATAAGTGCAGGGACTGTGTGACTTCTTGCTGCCAGAGCCCTGATCTAAGTCACAAGCCTGTCTTGCTTTTCTGGGGCTGCAGAAAAGGAAATGCCTAGCCCCAGGATGACTGCCTCTAAGGAAAGGAGATGAACAGAATAGAGCCATTTTCATGTTGGTCTCAGGTTTCAGCTTGATTACTTTACAGACTTCATTTACCTTACACAGGAGAAAGTGGCACAGGCCTAAGAGGACTGCTTTGAATGGAGAGCAAGGGAACTTTTTGCTAAGGCTAGAAATAAAATTCAGGAGCTGCCATGGACATTTATGGGGGGTGGGGCCTATACTCTCAAACACCAGTTTCTGCTACTGCCTGGAAATTATCTCGCCAGTCACCCACTATGACAAATCTGATCACTGAGACAAGAGGTCGGTGGTCATCTGCGACTCTCGCATAGGCAGCAGCCTAGCTGGAGGTTCACTCAGTGCCATCGGATCAATCAGCCAGAGCCAAGATCCAAGGACCACTGTCTACTAGTCTGGTCTGCCCTTGGAGTACGCAGATTAGGATAGAAAAGTAGGAAATCGGCTCAGCCATTCCCCGACATTCCCGTCCATCTGGAGGTGGGGGATCAAGGAGTGGCAGACACCGGGAAACCTTTCACCTGAGACTTAAGACTGGTAGCCGACGCTAATCATCTTTTAAGTGACTAACGGGTGCCCAGACACATTTTTATGAGATAAAAAGTACAGCATTTAGTTAGGAATAAGAGCGGAGCGTGGATCTCCTATCTTGTGGTGGTGAGCATCGGGCTCTGTGAAATTGATGAAGTTAGAAGGGAGTTAGGAATGCCCCCTGCCTCACTGAGGCCAGGGCGGCCTGAAGAAGCAGGTTGGAAGTCAGAGGCAGAG